ATAAGGAAGTTGTCAGCGAAAAGGAAAGGAATATAACTATGAATGTTTTAATAAATTCAGAATTTGGGAGTAGGCTAAAGATAAGTTTTGTTTGTCAGTTTTTAAATTCACTGTCTTTGGCTTAAGCTGGATGTGGAGGGTTTCAGAAATGAGTCGTTTATCATGGTTGAGAACTGTGGCTAGGATTGATGTTTTGTCAAAATCAAATGTATGATTGAGGGAGAGAAAATGTTCGGATAATTTGGAGGCTTTAAAATTACGAGAGGATACAGAATATTTATGTTGGGTGATGCAGTCTTTTAGGAGATTTTTGGTTTCACCAATATAGGATGAAAAACAATTGGGGACAGAACATGGAATACGGTAAACGATATGAGAGCGGTGTGAGGGAGGAACAGGATCTTTTAAGGATGTGTATAATTCAGAGAGTGTGTTGTGAGTGCAAGTCGTAAGCTAGGGTTAGTCGATCGTAACACTTTGTTTATGTTGTCTGAAAGGTTAGGAATATAAGGTAGAGATCTGTCTATAGAGGCCGAAATGGGTTGTGGAGAATTAGTGGAAGTCAAGATTGAGGAAGAGTGATTATTGTGGTCTGTTATAAGTTTGTTAATGACGACGAGGAAAATTATTGTTTGAGAGGATCTATTTCATGCGTTTGATATTGGAAGCATGAAATTGGGGATCAGAGAGAGAGAGACTACGGTGGATGAGATTTTTAGCAACGTTAATTTTCTGATGGTAGGGATGTTTAGAATGGTAATTTAGAAGTCTGCCAGTGTAAGTTGGTTTAGTGTACCAGTCTGTGGATATGGTGTTGTTGGAATTTTTAATGATTAGAAGGTCGAGAAAAGGGAGAGAATTATTGAGTTCGCGTTGTACTGTAAAATTGAAGGGGGGTGGTAAGAGTTAAAATTTGATAGGATATCGGGAATTTTATTTGGATTGATGATTAGGAGGAGGTCGTCTACGTATTTTCGAATAAAGATGATATCGTCTGGGTAAAGAGGGATAATGGAGTCTAGAAGATCATTGAGAACTATGTTGGAGATGTCGGGAGCGACGAGGGGGTTACCCATTGCTAGCCCGGAGATTTGGTTAAAAAATTTTTCTTGAAAAGTGAGGTAGCCTGATTTACAGCAAAGATGAAGGGATTCGAGATATGAGGAACGGTTAAGTGAGCTGTGAGGTTCAATGATTGTCAAATTTCCGTCTATTATAGTAAGTGCCTTGTCTATGGGTATGTTTGTAAATAAACTTTCAACGTCAAAGGAGCAAAGAATAAAATTGTCTGGAATGGTCAAGGAGAGTAACTGTTCACAGAGATGGAATGAGTTATGTACATCATAAGGGTTGTTGTGGCTGAAGATTTTTAAGGAAGGTAGTAAGAATTTGCTAAGTTTAACTGAAGGAGAATTAATATTGGAAGTGATCGGACTGAGTGGGGTGCGGGTCTATGGATTTTAGGAAGTCCATAAAAACGGGGAGCGACTGAATTGTAGGAGATGAGGTTTCTGTAAGTAGGGTAGTTTATGAGTTTAGAATTTAAAAGATTTTTTAGGTGTAGGTTAAATTTGGTTTTTAATGATGAGGTGGGATCACGGGATGCAGGAGAGTAAGTGGAACGGTCTGATAGGAGTAAAGTCATTTTGTCAGTATATTCTGTATGGTCCATAATTATAGTTTTGTTGCCTTTATCAGCCTTGGTTATGATTATCTTATCATGGGATTTTAAGAAGGATCGGGTAAAAGAGAGGTCTTTGAAAAATTCAGGAGAAAAGGAAGAAGAGGAGAACGGTGGGTGTAAGAGATAGTTGGAAATAATGTTGCAGATGGAAACGCGTGACAACTCCTTATTTTCTTTTGAAGAGGTGAAAAAATCGTTGCGTAAATATATTCGAGGTCAGTGATGAGTTGTGGAATGATTTTGAAAGAGGTGTTGGGTGTGGAAAAATTAGGTCCTAAACTTAAAATATTGATAACTTTGGAGGGGATGTCTGTGGAAGAGATATTGTCTACCCATTCTCCTTTCTCTGCAGGATAAACTTAATTTTTAAGAGTGACTTGATACAAATTTTTGAACTTTGAAATTAGTATAAGTTTCTTCTGTGCTTTAGTGGAATTAAAGATATTGGAAATGCAAATGGAGAGATTATTGACGTCTTCGTGATTGATGTTTTGATTTAAAAATTGGGTGAGAACTGAAATTTGTTTATGGAGAAAATTAATATTTTGAATAGTTTCGTGGATTTTTAAGTTAAGTAAAGATTTTTTAAATTTTAAAGCGGCATTTAATAATTTTGAGTTAAACGGAGGTGATATTGAAATGTGGTTAAAAGAGTTTTCTATAAATTTAGGAAAGATGGAGCGGCATTTGAGAAGAAATATCTGCTGTTCGGTACTATTTGCAAGACGTTGATGGAGGTGACACAGGTTGTTGATGCGCGATTTGAGGTGAGGGTAGGTAGACTTTAATAAGGAAAAGGATATAGGGGGTTGGGTGGAGGGTTGTACATTAAGTGCTTGAAGAGCTGTAGATGAAGAAGAAGAGTTGACATGAGGAATAGTGATGGCCGGAGATGAAGTGTTGGCACGAGATGCGGTACTGGCCGGAGTTGAAGAAGGTGAATAGTGACCAGATGGGCATGGCAAAAAGGTTGCTGCTGGTAACTGCGGAGGCCTAGAATGATTTTGATGTCTAGTTCGGCGATTAGTAGAAAGACGGTTGTTATCTAGTCGTTGGCCCCGTGTAGATAGATTCATAATTGGTAAATAGTTGACTGTCGTGAATAAAGGAGAGAAGAATAGTTGGGGTGATCAGTCAAATTAGAAGGCAAAAATAAATGATACTATTTATTTTGACATTAGCCGATGTTTCGACCTGAAGTTCAGGCCATCATCAGGGCTAAGAAAAGAACCAGATAACAAGGTATGAGAAACATAAGTAGTGTAGGTAAAAAAATTAAGTTTTATTATTATAATTATATAATTTTTACGCCTTCTTAAACGACCTCTGTATAGAAGTAAGTAATAAGAAAGTAATAATACTAAAATAAATTATTTAATTTTATTATACAATTAAATCATTGCAGTAGTATTATTCATTAATACAATTAATATAATGTACCGAAACCTTATTGTAGCAGTACAGTTATGCCATTTATGAGTACTGAATAATGTGGCAGAGGCCTGTAGACACCTACGCTAGTACCGCTTTTCCACCGATTAAGTGCATTTTATACGGAACTACTTCAAATATTTTAAATTGTTGGCCGTTTGATTACAAACGACGCTTGATTTTCAGCTTGAAAATTTTGTTGTTGAAAAAATTGGGCACTGCGTTCACTTTTTTTTGTGGAAACATTAGCTTTTTTTAATAAATAGTTAAAAGGAACTCAACGATATGCAATTTATAGGGATGTGGGGGGGAGGAGGGGAGGGGTGCACTGTAGGGAAGCCTGCTCCACAGACTATGAGGATAAAGATGTCATGGACGAACAACCCTTGCCACGACCCCCATGCCCAAAGTGAATTGATCTAAATTTGTGAGTGTAATATTAATAAGTTATTGAAAACAGTGAAATCAATGAGGTTTATGATTGTATATATTTAATATAACAAAACAGAATAAACTTATCGTGAGACTTTTATTATCTGTAAAATACAATATTAAATTTTTTAATGAACATGATTTTTGTCTACTTTATTTAATAATTGGTTTAAAAGTGTGGCCACACATATTATTAGACACGGGAAAAAAAAATTGTGGGTCAATATTATGATAAAAACAATTTTTTCTGAAAATGACATTTTACGAAAAATATTAAAATAGCAATAACTGTAGGCTGGTTTGAGATTAATTTGCATATTTGTACATACTCTAATAGAGAATTTAAGTATATAAAATTCTTTTAAATTAATTTCTTTCTCTGATGAATATCTTAGAAGATATGAAGCAATGTTTGATGAAAAATGTAAGGCAAAATGGTTTGACCAGAAGGCCTCGACAGTTGCGTGTTCAATAGAGGAGGAATTATGACTCATTGGATGAAGGAAGATGAGTAGAAGGATAACCTAAAGTTTCAGGGGGATCAGCACCCAAATCACTCTTGGTCTGCAGTACAAGGCATTGTGGCTCCCGCTCCCGCCACTTGCTGCAAGAGACAATTAGTTCACCTGCCCGCTACCTGGCAGTGCCACACAAGATAGCTCGTGAGATTAAGGGATCAACCTTAACACTCCACAGGGATGGTAACCACAAATGGAGGGATCAATCTTCAGACTTTGTGGGAGGATGAAATACTAATGGAGGGATCAATCTCCTGACTTAGTATGTAGGAATATAAGCGGACGGATCAGCATCCAGACTTGTATGGAGAGATAGAGTGGGATAAAAGGTTTTAAAGGTGCCTTTTTATTTCACTGGACATAGTGAAATAAAAAGGCAGATTGATGAGGAAAAAAAGAGTATATGAGGCATATACCAATCATCTGCGTATATGGTCTATACCCCCAAGGGCAGAGACCCTTTGCGAGATGAGGCACTTTTTGAGATTTTTAAAGCTGTCAGATTCGTATAAAGCGTCCAAAATTTTGTCTGACTTTATCAAATCTGTCATCCACTGAGTTGTCTGAAACTATTCCAATCGCTTATTTTTTTCATGCTGCTGATCACGTAGTTCTTGGCAGTTTTTTCGATTTTTGAAATTCTGCCATACCAAATGCTTCCAGTTAGACGTCTGACTTGAGGGTTTTTTGCGTTAGGGTTGTCATCTCTACTGTTTTCAATTTTTAAATCTTCTGCCACTGATCACATGGTTAAATCTTCAGTAGATCCCGGATTATATTAAATCAGTTTTTAAATGTTTGGTAATTTGTTGTTATTTATAATTATGCGGTACTAAAAAACGTACATTTATCTCGAATGTATTTTATCATTTTTCAGAAATTTATTTATTATGAATATCTCTTGTAATTTCTATTGTTATTGTTATTTATTCCAGTTCCAATTCAAGTTTATATATTGGGTCCTACTTCTGATGATGAAGTAAACTTCTATAGTTCAACCGAAAGAACTTCCAGTATCAATGAAAAAATAACTTTTGTCGGTGAGTTAATTGTTCTATTATACACTTTACTATAGAATAGAAAAAACAACTATATTCTAGGTCTAAGTCCTTTAACACCCCGAAGGTCGCACCGGATTTGAGAGAACCACCGTGCGGTCTTTTTGATATGTCTTCATGTGGCTAGGGAGAGGAGGACCCTCCCTCAACATATTCTCCTCGCTCTTGGAATCTTACAGTCCAGTATTGGGATGACCTGTATTGCTTCCAATTTGTATACCAAAACTTGGGGATTGACGACGTGCGTGGAAATTTTTCATGGAAACGAGATGCAAAGGCAACTGATATAATTGAAATCAAAGCCTTTCGTGGTATGTTATATATTGCAGGAATGCATAAAGTTGGACGAAAAAATATGAATGATTTGTGGGGCTCAAGTGGCTTTGAAATTGAGATATTTGGTCTCACTATGAGTATTCAAAGGTTTCAATTTTTACTTTGATCCCAGGTTTCAATTTTTACTTCGATCCCTGAGATATGATGACTGTGAAACATGAAAATTTGTCTGGGATAAGATCAAGAATAAATGAAATATACAGGACATTATTCAAGGCTTTATTGGTTACATAGAAAGGAGCATTGACTATTGTTCGGAGAATTTTAGACTGGAAGGATTGAGTGTGTTTGATGTTAGAAAATTTAGCTGTCTCCCACAGTTCTAGTCCGTTGTTCCAGATGGGTTTTAGTATTATATTATAGATCAGTTATTTGTTTTCAATAGAAAGTTGAGATTTTTTATTCAGTAGCCTTTATAGCTGGCCACAAGGTCGTTTAAGTTCCTTGTCTTTCAAGTCTAGTAGCGGTGTCCATGTTAGTCTTCTGTCAAAGAGAAAGCCAAGATAACGAACTGTGTCTGAGAAGAGAAGTTGAATGGAGTAAAAATTAACTAGTGGACAGAAATTACAACAAAGGGTGAAGATTATATGTTGACATTTGGATTCATTTACTTTGATGCTCCATTTCTTTACTTCATTGCCATTGAATTACTTCATAAGATTCATCTTTGGGATAACCAAGCATTCACATATTTCTTGTTGGTACACAAAGTTGAAGTGGCTATATCCTTCTTCCCAACAGCAATTCCTTCTTGGTGTTTTTTTTTTCAAGTTCTCAGAAACAAAAACCATCTCTACATCTCAGAACTCCTTACTTTACGCTCCTCTATCCACTCTCTTAACATCAGATCTCAACCTATAGATTTATATATCCCCTCCCATAAAACCACTTCCTTCAGTAAATCCTTCGTCATTCGTGATACCTCCTTATAGAACTCCTTACCCATTTCCATATGCCAAAACACGTTCATAAACTCCTTCAAACAACACCTATTCCACCACCTACTTCCTTACTTATCCGGCAATAGGTCCCTCAAGTGCTGCTACCTTCCAACTGCGAATATCTAATATGGTCCGGGCATCTAAAGCCACGCTAAAGCCCACCGAAGTCGTGGCCAGCCTGCTCTTCTCACACCAAAGATTTGCTCCCTTGGGATTTTGGCTGGGATTTCGTCTTGCTTCATTCAAATCACATGTCCGGCCCACCTTAGTCTCATTAGCTTAATAAATGCCTACATCAAAATTTCCCAAGACCTTCATACAGCCATGGACCAGCAGAAATTCACCATCCTTATTCTCCTTGACTTCTCCAAAGCCTTTGACTCAGTAGACCACAAAATTCTCCTAACCAAGCTTAAAAATATTTCCTTCTCAACTAGTACCCTTAATTGGTTCCAATCCTTCCTTTCCGACCGCTCCCAGTATGTTGTCCATCTCACGCTCCCAGAACCATCCTCCACTTTACAGGCAATAGCTCTGGGCTTGATTGTGATGAGCACTTCGAGTGTGTGTGTGTGTGTGTGTGTGTGCGTGTGCGTGTGCGTGCGCGTGTGCGGTGACAAGAAAGGAGAATATTTTGATATATGATGAGAGAGGGATTGATGTACAATGATAGCAATACTGTCATATGCTCTATCGTCAGGATGGGATGAGATACATTTGTGAGGAGTGATATCAGTGGGGTAACAAGATATTTAAATTTGGTAAGGAAGGATGTCAATAAACTAGTAAAATCTGTGGAATTAGATGCTGAAAGAATATGGGATTTGATATTGGTGAGGGTTACGTACATTAGGAGGGATATGATATTGAGGTTAAGTTTAAAGTGGTTGTTGCGGCAGAGCCTCACATTCATTAGTCGGGTCTCTACTTCTTCTTTCGATAGCACTACGGTCCTTGCAGAACCCTGTCCTCCTCTACAATTCTCTGCCATTCGTTCCTGTCCAAAGCCGCTCCTCTCCACCTTCGGACTCCAAGTGTCCTCAGGTCCTCATCAACCTCCTCCAGCCACTGCAATCTGGGACACCCTCTTCTTCGTCCTTCACCAGGGGGTCCATCCAGAAGCTTCTTCAGGATACTCCGCTCCTCTATGCTCTGCAAATGCCCCAGCCACCTAATTCTACTCGTCCTGATGCAGGTGATAATATCCGGAGCCTTGTATAGATCACGGAGCTCCTAATTGTTTCTTTGCCTCCACCGATCTCCCTCCCTCAAGCGGCCAAAAATTCTTCTCAGGACTTTCCTCTCCTACACGTTCAGTACTTGCTCTGACTTCCTGGTGAGGACCCATGTCTCACTTCCATATGTCACCACTGGTCTAATAACACTAACATACGATATACAACCTTCTTTAACTGCCAGGGCAACACCTTTGACCTAAGTACTATTCCGAGCGCCCAGCAGCATCTGTTTCCGTCCATCATGCGTGACTTTATTTCTGCCTGTATGTCATTTTTTTCCGTTTACATTGGCCCCCAGATATTTAAACTGCTGTACCTGCTCAAAAAAGTATCCCCTAGTTCTAAGACCATTCCTTGCCCCACAATCACACCGGGAGGTCTTCATATATTTAGTTTTGGTTTCATTAATGTTCTCATTCTGCTATTTTTGAGGTCTGTTCATATTATGCGAAAGCTCCTGTTAAGGACGCACGTGTACGACCAGTAATGACGTCATCCGCAAAGGCAAGATACTGAGTCGATTAAGATGGTTCCCCCAGGATTTGTTCTAATGGCCCTTATCACTATTTCCAAAACAAAGTTGAATAGGACGGGAGATAGGGGATCTCCTTTTGTTGATATGGAAGCTACTGGACCTTGCACTTTGTATTTTTACTCTTCCTTGTGTTCCTTTCAAGGTCTCACGCACTAATCGTATCAGTTTTTCCGGTATACCCACCTTTGCCATGGCCTGATACAACTTGCCTCAGTCTACACCGTCGTATGCTTGCTTGTAGTCTATGAAGAGGTGGTGGAGATCAATATTATGTTCATAGCATTTCTGCAGTATATTTCTTATGCTTGAAATATAGTCTATAGTGGATCTACCACTTCTGAATCCACTCTGGTAATGCCCGACTTCTCTCTCAACAGAATGGAGAAAACTTGAAAACTTTGTATGCTATGTTTAGCAACACAATGCCTCTGTAGTTTTCACACTCCATCTTGTCTCCCTTCTTATAAACTGGGCATATTAATGCAGTGCACCAGTCTTTTGGCACCTCTTCTGAAATCCAGATGTCAAAAATCAGATGGTACATTTGCTCGACCAATGCTTCTCCTCCATGCTTCCACAGCTCTACAGGAGCCTTTTAATTTTTTAGAGATGCAAGAACTTCTGCAACCTCTTTCTTCTCTGGAGGTTCTATAATATCTGTAATTATATGTGCCGATCCGATGTACCTAGGTGGGCTTAAAACGAGTTCTTCAGGCATTTCTAGATTTAGGAGCTTCGAAATATTGAGAACACCTATTAACAACATCCAGCGGGTCTCCCAGCAGCTCGCCATTATCATTCTTTAAGCCTATCCTTGGCTTGAAGTCTCCCTTGTGTTCTTTAAGGATACTGAAGAACTTCCTTCTATTTCTCTCCCCATACTCCTCTTTCATTTGGAGGAATGTGGCTTTTTCCGCGTCTCGCTTTCTTTTTCTGCACATGGTATTGACTCTTCTCCTTAGGGCTTTATGCCTTTTTACATTTGCTATGGTCCTTCTTTGAAGCACTGCTGATCTGGCCCTATTTCTTTCCTCTACCATCCTTGGTGTACTACCTCTACCATAATTTATTAATAGGGTCTCATTTGCTGTCTCTGTTACTACTTTTTTCATCTAACTCCACCTAGCTTCCACACCTTCATTTCCATCTATAGCTTCTTGTGGTTTTACAGCTACTCTATCTGCATACCTCTTTTTCTCGTCAGTGTCTCCCAGCAATACTTCTTGATTTTTGCAGTCTGTCCCTTTGGTTGGTTGGCAGTCCTTTGGCGGTATTACGTATTACGTCCATGTTAATTATTGGATTTGAATTGGAGGAAATTGTAGGAATAGGAAGGGTGATTTGTTGAAGGAATGTGTCTTGGAAGTATCGTCTTCTCAAGGAGGGGAAAAGCCACCTTAACTCAGCATATTAGTGAAAACACAGGGACGTCTCAGAATCATCGGCATAGTGGTGATGGGAACAATGAAGGATTGATTTACGCAAGTCATTAATATAGCAGCTAAAGAGAAGAGGAGATATTTTCGAACCCTTGGCCACTCATGAGGTCAGAGATAGGAAGACAGGTTGATTAGGAATAGCAACTGCTTGGGTACCTTGATAGAGAAAATATTGTAACAAAAGATAGAGCTGTTGGAAAATGATAACAATTTTTATTTGAAGAGATGATGGTATAGTTAATAGTACCGAAAGCTTTAGAAAAATCAAGGAGTATAAGGACACTTAATTATTCAATTTGAATAATTTGATAAGAATGCAATCTGGACCAGTTGAAATAAAATGAGATTTTATCATATCAGATAGTTTTAGTCATCATCATTAGAATATGTTCAGGAGAAAAGCAGGAAAGGGATGATAGAGAAATGGAAGAGGAGGCAGATATAAAATCATATGAGGAGTCAGATATGTGACTTTATTAAATCATCAGCTGAAAGTGGAAAGACTACTTGGGGAAGGGTTCTGGATGATTCACAAAGGAAATGTTTACAGAGGGATAGCCATTTTGATTTGGAATCAGGAGCTAATGAAAGGATTTCATGGGAGTAGATATATTTAGCTCACCAAATCCTTCTTTGTTTCATGTTGCAGAGCACCCAAATGCTTGATAGTCATCAGCCAGTCTAGTACGTATCTAAAGCGTCTCTGGGCAGCATCACACCTTAATACATGTATGTGCGTGCATACATCCGTGTTTATCCCTAGAAAAAATATATAAAATCTAAAAGCATGTTTGGGCTTTCACCTTTAAACAATATTACTGTGATGTAGTTGTAGTGATTAACTTTATATTTGGATGTTTCACTCATAGTATTTCTACCTCCATGCCTATCAAATAGATGTCATGCGTTTGTAGATAGTAGTGTCAACTGGTTAGAATTATTGATTGAACTGCACCTCACCCACAAAGTTTTGTAATTCAAAACCTCCTCGTTGTCTACAAAGTCTGTTGCTATTGACATTTAAAAGACCTCAGTGGGTTAACATACCTGTTTGTTCTACTAAACCTGGATAGGACTAATTTTATAACTAACCTTCTTGTCTATATTTTAACAGTTTAGGCTTATACAGTTAAAATCATTGAGATAATTGGGTTGAGTGTTGGAAAAATATTGTGACTTTTTCATAAACATTATTATTATTTACTACTAGACTATTTTCAGTTGATTTTTAAGAAGAATTTTATTTTGTTTTGTTTCTTCAAGAAAGCAGATATTGATTTCATATATATTTTTAATACAAACTGCTTTTTTCATTAAAGTTTATTATGTTTGGGATTCTTCCGATTTATTTAACTAATTAACACATCCCAACATAGTAGAAGATGTGAGATGATTTTATTTATTATACAAATATGTGTGATTAAAATGATTAATTTTTTTCTAGGTAAAAGTGGTATGTTCACTACATGTGAAGGTATCAAAGTGGCTTATGTTAGTGGATTTGAATCATCATTTAACAATAAGATTAGTATGACAGAGATGGATGTTGGAAATTTAATCTCTAAAAATATTACAGTTGATATAGTATTTTCTTCACAGTGGCCATTAGGGATTACAAGTAATGGAATGACAGATTACAAACCAAAATACCCATCACAGTCATTGGCTAAACTTATTAAAATACTGAAACCACGATACTTCTTTTCAGGCTGGGAAAATAAATATTTTGAAAGATTACCATTATGTCATACAGAAAAGGATGGAAATATACCATTATTAACAAGGTTTGTTGGTTTAGCCTTTGTTGATAACTCAAATGAAAAGTGGTTTTATGCTGTGAATATGGATCTTCACAGAAAATTGTCTGTATCTGATGTAAATAAAATAAATTTATATTTAAAGCACCAGCCTCTAGAAGAGCTATATAATTCACGTATAACTGACAATGGCAGCTACATTTGGATGCAAGAACAGCCAAAAAAAAAAATTGGACAAAAAAATAGCACTAAAAAATTTAATTTGAAAGATTGTTGGTTTTGTTTGTCTAGTGATGAGCCTCAAAATCATTTGATTGTAAGTGTGGGATTTAATGTATATTTATCACTGTCAAAAGGTGGTTTAGTACGTGACCATATGTTATTAATACCAATTAACCATGTTTCATCCATTTCTCAAGTAGATGAAGAAATCAGATCAGAGCTCAATCGTTACAAAAAAATTATTAAACAGCACTTTATTACAAAGAATAAGAGGGTTATTTTTTTTGAAAGATTTTACAAAACATCTCATGCTCAAGTTAATTGTATACCTATGAGAGAGGACTTATCTTGTAATGTGAAGAGTTCATTCATGGTAAATTTTCATTTAATAGTAATTTATTTTAATTTAATTAAATGAAATATCAATTCTGTGTTATATTTAGGTCTATAATCAATTGGACTCTTCATTATTTAAGATTGTAACATTTTTTTAAATTATGGTTATGAGGGTGTCAAGTGGATTGTAAGCGCCCAGGGTTTAATTTTACCTGACATGACCCTTATATCCTTCCAAATCAACCAGTAGCCTATTTTCTCATAGTTGCAAGTTATACTTATTGTACCTAGATATACAACCCACAAATGATTGGTAAATCTCTAACCAGCTTGTACTTTTTCTAAGAGCAAATGAGAGGGCTAAGGTTAGAAATAATAATTTTGTTTCATAAATTTATAAAGGTCTAAACAAACTGAAAAGGAATGAATCTGAAAATAGAAAGCAGGTAGAAATAACACTTTTTTCTAGAATAATTTATATTCTTTCTATTTTTATCCCTTGGCCTGATGCCCCATCAGCTAAGACCAGCCCTGGTACTAGTATGAGCCTGTATGCATTAAATGTTATACTTAGCGATATTTTATGCTTCAATTTTTAACTACCCATATAACTTAATTATAAAATAATATTATTTAGACCTCTGGTTCCGGGTACCGTGGTACTAGCAACCCCTTCCTCTCCCCATATGGTTATGATTCTTCTTCTTCTGCGTTCTTCCCTCAGATGGTCAGGTCAGGAACTTAAATGAAGAATTCGGAATTCCTCCTAAGGTCCTCCAGACTTCATAGAGCTTCATTTGCATCTCGGTTGGAGAGAGTCAGATTATACTCCTTTGTTGGGAATAGATCTTGCATGTTTGCAGAATTTGCTCTGCATTCTGCTCATCAGTAGAGGGGACTACAGCCAATTTTGAACTTTCTTAACAGGTGGGCTTCAAGCCTGTTTTGCTCCATTCGCAAGCGGAAGATTAGGACCAGCTCTCGTCGATTCGGTTCGTGGATAACAACACTGGGATTGTGATGTGGATGGCTTTTAATCCAATTAATCTTTAATGTTTTTACCTCATCTAGATTGAGATTACTGTCAAACTGCAGACTGCCCATTTGTTTCTAGAGAGGCTGCAGTGTCCAGGGATCCATTGTAGGACAACTGTCCTGTGAAAGGACATCAAATCTTAAAGTTCTTTTTAAGTTTTCCTAGGTTTTTTCTCTAGTTCGACCTGAGTGATTGTAACACTGATGCTGCATCAGTAAGGAACACAATTTTTAAATTTTCAGGTCTCTTTAATGTCCTTAACAGTTTTGATGCCTCACAGATGGCTTCTTTTTCAATCCAATAATTCGAAGAAGTGATGCCTGTTGGAACAGCCTTCTGATTAATATTCTCTGCAGGAAATTGAAAAAGGAAACTGGCTCCACTGTTTGTAGTATTGGCTGAACCGTCAGTATATGTCCTATTCAACGAGTATTTTGGGTTCTTAGTATTTATATGTTGGAGAGAAAGTGATTTCAAGAGTTCCTGGGGTATCTTCTCCTTTTTTTTTACACCAGGGTTGGGCAGAATAATTTGTGGTTTCGGAGATTCAAACCAGGCAGTTTGTCTTCTACTGTTGTTGAACGTTCTACAGACTCTTGTTTTCCAAAGATTTCAGAAGCGAGCTTTGTTGTTCTGTGGAGTATGCTTTGCCGTTTCAGCCTGTTTATATTACTTTCTCTCACCATTTTTTAAAAGAAATGATTTGGAATGGACTTGGTTTTTGCATCTTGGTGAAAAAGTTTCTCATCTTTCCTATTCTCTATTGAGGGAAGTTTCGCAATGCCTCCATTTTTACAATTGGTGTAGACTTCATTGCCCCTGTTATAATCCTTAGCCCCTGATTTAGCATGGTCCTCTGGAGGGTTTAGGTTTTCTTGAATGAGGTTTAGGTTAATATCAACCGGGATGTTCTTTCAGAGTCTAAATATTGAGTATTTAGTGTTGTTTTGGTTAATGGTCATAGCCTTTTTTTCGGTCCACTGACAGATACTGTCGAGGGCCATTTGCATTTGGTTCTTTTGTTGCGAGAATGGAAGACGATCTACTCCAGAGGGCGATATCGTCGGCGAAAAGGGACGCATTAACATTATTTGGTAAGTCTTGAATAATGTCGTTTATAAATATTAGGAATAGCACTGGGGAAAGTACTACCTGAGGCACGCTGTTTTCTATTTTCCAATCCTTGAGATAGTCATTGAGCCATATGTGGGCTTCCCCATTGATACTAATGTTGGCAGCTTTTAAGGTTAAGCTTTCAGTCCATACCTTATTGAATGCTTTTCCTAGGTTGATTCAGACTGTCAACATGTGTTCCTGTTTTTAAAATCTGTCCTCTATTTCTTGGGCGATGTAGGCTACTTGATCCTCAGTAGAGCGAAATCTGCGGAAGCCTGCCTATTCAGGGACTAAGAGATCATTTTTGTCTCTCTAGTAGGTTCGCCATGTAGCTAAGAAGAGCGATGGGCCAAAAGCTGTTTGGGTCAGTTTTCCTTTAGCCTTCTTTCGATACTGGAATAATTATTCTTTCCTTCTAGGTCTCAGGTACTTTTCTTATCTTCCAGCTATTATTGTAGCGCTTCGGGATACTACTCTTGGTTTGGATTCTCAGATTGATGAGAGACTCATTGAAGATATCATGAACTCTAGTAGTACTCTTCAGTTTTAGGCAAATGAAAGCTTTATTTAGTTCTTGTATTGTGAATGGTTGATCAAGCTTCTCTTTCCTAGATTTTGCAGCACATAGATTTTCTTTTACTTTTTCTTCATCTGTTTTTCTTTGTACGGCTTATATTGGTTGTTTCACGCCGACATAAATGGTCAGCCTGCTACTTTTCTGGAAATAAGTTTTCCATTGCTTTCCTCAGCCAATAAGTCATTTGTGATTGCGTCACCAGATAGCGATTTTCCCAGTTTCGAAAGTTTCATTTCCTCTCAGTCCAAGTTAAATCCCTCTGTTTTCTCATGCCAGGCCTTCTTTTTAAATTTTGTTGTGCCATATCTCAGTTTTGCAAATTTTAATTAAGGCAAGGCACTGTCATAAGTTCTTAATATGCAAAATTCTACTTATTTAGGCAGTGAACTGTATTTTAATGAATTGGTAGGTTATACGAACTAAGCAAAAACAACTTACCATTTTTATGCTGGCTTAAGACATCTCTTTTACCTGAGGGCACCCTCGGAGTATCTGTTGTTTCTGGCTATCTGTGCTGGAATGCGCCTGTGTATCGTGAGGTAGTACGTATTAAATTTAATCTTTTAGATCTTCTGATCTGACTCCACCACTCACCGTAACGAAAGAATTGGGAACTATCTTTGCACAAACAGCCTCCTTTAGTTTTATATTGTTTTGAGAGGAAAGGAATCTTTCTGCCACATCCCGCAATTGTGGTACATTGTTTTCTAATTTATCTAGTTCCTCCGTCCAGTATGGCTTGTACTGCTTTCTGCAGGCTCTACGTATAATTTTCTTTGCTGCTTGTAGTAGGGCAGAGGCAATGCACTGGGCAGATATGTTTACTTCGTTTGATGTTATGTTTATAAAGGACGTCTACCTGTCTGTGAGATCAGTGTAGATGTCCCATTTTGCTTTCTTGAAGCTCCATTTTGGTAGGGGAAGCACTTCAGGTGTCGGAAAATTCAAGTCAACCTCGAGTGTGGTAGGCCTATGGTCGCTTCCTCCTAGTTGGTTTGCCACCAATTGCTGTGTAGAGATAACTAGATTATTTGTAGCAAATGCTAAGTCCGGGAGTTAATTGTTTTCCAGGTTAGTGAGTAAAAGGTAAAAGATCATCAGGTTTATTGATAAGTTGAAGAAAGATTTCAGCTTGCCATGTTTCAACTTCCTCGCCTGGTTGGTCCAAGTCTTGATACCAATATGGTAATGATTTATGATCAATAGATAAACATTATTTTCTGATTGTTAGATCATATTCTTTTCTAGAAACTGGACAGCCATCTGTTAATAATTCACTCCTACTTCTATGCACTTAGTCCATCTTCTAATGAGCATTTGTATTCCTTCCTGGAAAAAGTTTTTGGCATAGTGTTCATAAAATTTTGCAAGCTTCTTCAGATCGATGATGAATCCCTCACAACTCCTCTTTTAATGGCCAAAAAGATGATAATCGCTTGGAGCCAAGTCTGGACTATATGGAGGTGTTGCAGCAGCTGAAAAACGAAATTTTTAAGGCACAGGACTATTTTTGGTCGTATGAAGACGAGCATTATTGTGAAGCCTAATCATGCCTTTTGAAAGTTTACTGTCTTTTGGATTCGATTTTTGGCTTTTTGATTTTTTAAGTAAACTAAAATTGGACTTTCCGTATCCCTGAATATTGTCATCATAACCATTCTTGCAGACATCTTAGTTGAGCTGTTCTTCACACAGAAATCCTACCACTTTTAAAGCGATAAATGCATTTGTAGATCTTTCTTCCACTCAACCAACTCTCTCCACATTGCTGCTGTATTCGACAAATAATCTCTGCTGGTTTCATACCTTCTGAATTGAGGAAACCTTTCGCTACTCGCATTTCTTCCTTGGTCAGGGTGTCCAGGGTATGTACGAATTGTACGGGAAAATCTTAAACCGTGAAATGTACTAGAATTTTCTAAAAAAACCTGGGATTTGTTTTTGTTTTTTTTGCTTCTTTTGTGACAATATAAATAATGTGTTTCTTTTCTAGAATTATATATAATATTGTTGGTCAAAAATTGCTAAAAAAGAAAGAAAAAAAGACCGAGCAACTGTTTGTATTATTATTATTAAATGGCACTACATCTCAATTATTCGAGACTTGGTCTGCTCCAGCATGGATCTCCAGTTATCCCGGTTAGTTGCTGCAGCCTTCCAATTTCTGACACCAAGTAGTCTACATGCATCAGCAGCCACACATTCTTGCCAGCGCAAACATGGTCTTCCCACTCGTCTGTTTCCAAACACAGGCTCATTCATAGCTCTCTGTGGGGGTGTATCCATATCCATATGCACGACAAGTCCT